TGATTTCACTTGATTATTGGATGATCCAAGGTATGCACCTCCAAAAGAACATTATCTCCTTGCTTTGAGGATAGCATACTTCCAAATTCATTCACCTTGGCATCTTATCTCACTCTGTAACTATTATTCAATTTTCTCAGTTGGTCAATTTTGTCCAATTCCGTTGGAATATTAATTATTACCATCAATCCTCATAATGACATTGGCGTTTTTGATACACATAGTGAAGGAAAGTGAGTCTAGTCACCTAATCTACTATTTTTTTAACTACAAAGGAACAATAAAATGAATAGTAAATCCTAATCAGTAAATCCTAATCAGCATATCCCAAGCCACATTCTCCTTAAAAATTTCGGCCTCCTTTCTTTAACCGTACACTTTTTTAAAAATCCCCACGATTCTCTCTCTCTTCCTCTCTAAATATTTCTTCAGAAAAGGATTTAGAAAAAAACTCTCTCCCCTTCTCCCCCTCATGGCCGTTGTCGACTCCGCTGACGCCCTCATCGAAGCCCAACCTCCACCGATCCCAACTTTTGCAGTGGTCACATTCAGAAAATCTAGGGTTTTGATCTAAGTATTACGGTTTTAATCAATCTTTAATTCTCTTGAAATCTTGATCATTAACAGAAACCAAGCAAAGAAATGTGACATATTCAGTACTCGGAGAAATACTTCGATGATACCTTCGAGTACAGATACTCTTTTAATCAAAAAAAACTATTTTGTGCATTTTTTGTTCGATTATATCTTCGATTTGATCTTGAATTACAGAAATTTGATGATTATTGATGATCTTTTGGTTAATTCATGCACGTTGTCCTCCCGCTTGAAGTTGCAAAGATGCTGCCCAAGAATCGCCTTCTCTCTGAGGTAATCACAAAATTCTAGGGCTTTCTTTTGAAAAGTTTATACTTTTTTTGAGTTTTTTTTGCTTGAAGTTAGAATCTTTAAGGGTAAATTTCACAGAACCCCCCTCAAAATTGGTGTGAATTCATCGCAGAGGGGCAATTTTCCAAAGTTTAGCACTTAAATGATAGATTAGAAGGCAAAAACATTTTAAGAATTAATAATTTCGTAAAACTCCCAAAAGTTTAAAGGGGTTCTCTCTAATTTTTATAGTTCAAGTTCGTTTCTTGCAAACCATTCAACTGTTTTTAAATCCGAATCAAATAATTACCTTACACTTGCATATCATTTTAAATCTTTTCACGGTATCTATTTATATTAGCATAGGTTTTAATAGTAATTATTTTCCATTGTTGTTTGGGATAACTTCTTCTATCTGCTTATTTTATTTTATAGGAAAAGTAAAGTACTTGACATAGTCGGAGTCGGAGTTCTAGATATTTTTTTGCGAACACAATATATTTTTTAAATCCGCATCTTCTTCATTGTAATATGTTTATGGTATTTTAATGCTTTTTATTCGCTATCGAATTTCTATGCTTGATATTTATCTAAAATCAGTTATCAAAACTGGTGATTCTGCTCGGGAATTTTGGTTCCAAACACCTCCAGAGATCAATCAAGATGCTCCTTACACATTTGGTATCATAGGTTAGTTTATAATTCTTTTGTTAACTTCTTCTTTTTCAGAATATCAGATTTACTGCAAGGAATATACAATCTTGCATCCCGATGAGGGCTGCCATAGAGCAACTTACGATGGCAGTAGGATGCTTCTAACTGTATGAAGAGTCGAACTACAGACAAGGTACCCTTTGTGATTGTGTATGGAAGGCTTCCGAATCATTATCTTGACCTTGTTTTGGCACATGTTGAGTTTGCTGAGTTTAAAAATATCTCTCAAATCGTAACGAATAACTAGTAAGGAATTTATAGGAATAACTAGTACTGATGTAGAACACACAGCAGACACGTTTATGTCAAAGTGGGACAGTAGCAAGCCCAAATGCGGGCCTAGTCGAAGAAAATAACTAGTTTTGAAGAAATGGTCGTAACTTTCAAACCGTACGTCAGAATTAAACGAATTATATATGAAAATCGACTATCTCGACGAGACGGAGCCATCCAAACCGACCCATTAGGGTTCGGTTTGCGTTTTCTGTTTCGCCAAATTCCTTACGGTTTGAGAGATATTTGTATTTTTGTCTATTTTTTACTATTTTTAGTAATATTTTAAGAGTCTGTTTTGTTTAGGAAACAAATCCGATTTGATCTTAGATTTTGTTTAGGAAACAAATCCGATTTGATCTTAGATTTGACCGGTGGACTTTCCTAGTAATAAGGAGTCTTTTTAGGAGTTTTAATATTTTAGAAAATTTTTTACTATTTTTGGTGGACTTTCCTAGTAATAAGGAGTCTTTTTAGGAGTTTTAATATTTTAGAAAATTTTTTACTATTTTTGGTAGAGTTTGAGTCCTTGTAGGAGTATTTTTAGGAGTTTTAATATTTTAGAAAATTTTTTACTATTTTTGGTAGAGTTTGAGTCCTTGTAGGAGTATTGTTTCTTTTTTTATTTAAGAAGAGTCTTATAAGCCCTAGATGCATAACTTTTGATTAATAAAATTTTTATTTTTCCTCAATATTTCTTCGTGGATTCGAAGCTCTTCATGGATTCGAAGATTTTTCTTGGTGGATTCCGAGACTACTACTTCCACGCTGTGTCAGGTTAGTTTATAATTCTTTTATTAACTTTTTCTTTTTTCAGAATATCAGATTTACTGCAAGGAATATATAATCTTGCATCCGCTAAATCTTAAACTTATATAGCCTTGGAACTTTTGATGATTTATCATGTTGACGTTAATATAGACGTCAGAATACTACAGATCTTATTTATGTACAATATGAATAGATATTATATACTTTATAATGTGAGCCTTTTATTTCTGGATATACAAATCTCGAAAGATAAGAGAAGAGGATTTTGAGATCACTGAATTTAGAGTTTTTTACTTCTTGAAGAGAAAGGGAGTAGACTTGCTAACTTTCATGTTCTTCCATGTTGATATAACACATCTTTGTACCATTATCTTCTCTTATAGAAAAAGTTCAGCAAAGAGATCTAAATGAAGAGGGTGAGTAACGTGAGTTTGCCTCATCGCCTATCGCAGAATCTAGGTTTATTCATAGGATTTTTGAATTTAACCCTGTCATTAACAACTTAAGTTTTACGCATTACAACAATGTTGTTATAGATATGGCTCTTTGGGTTCCTCTCTACCATCATGAACATCTAGATGTTGTTATAGAATGATTTTATGTCAAAGACTGCAAAAGAATAAACAAAAAAAGTCAAAATGGATGGAATGACAACTCTTAAATTTTAGAAATTTTCACATGCTTCAAATCGAATATACCTTTGGTCAAATTCTATTCATTTATAAGCCAAACACTAAATATTATTTGTTTAGTGCTAAATAAACAATTGAATCAAACTTGATCGAATATCTGGATGAATAATAACCGAACTGTTTATTAATTATTCGGTTCACTTTCATGATTATACTTCAAATCTAAAGCAAAGTTCTTTATTTTAGTAACATGTTCAATATTTGTAGAAAATCTTTTAGGAACCGTGTTTTGCACGGCTCTAAATACTAGTATATATGAGGTAGTTCAAACCCATTTTGGCTTGAAAAGTTGCAATCCACATTGCGTGAACCTAAAGAGAAGTGATCAGAGAAGGAAGCCCCAAAAATAGAAGTGGGCCTTGTTCTTGATTAAGCTTTCAAAGCCTAATAACAGCATCCTTTTAAAGCTCGGAGCAAAGACTTCGAGTCACCTGCGCTTGCAAAGCAAGCAAAACCAGCAGGCAGCGGATGAGGTGGCGCTTTCCTCGCTGACTCACTTCACACGCGAGCACACTTCGCCTCCTCCCTTGACACGTGTGACCCATACGAACTCTGTGAATAATTGCAATAGAAGACACTCCTTCGCAGTGATAACTATACTAAAAAGAACTGGGTTTTTTCTTGCAAATTGCAAAGAGAAATATGAATTTCTATAGGTCTTGCTTATATAGCACAAAAATGGTACAAACACTTGTAGTATAATTAGTATTTTCAAGAGTTTTATGAATCTTATTTCTACGTCTAGTAGCACAACTCTTGTTGTATATTTAACATTTTTAAATTAGTGAGGGATATACGTCACTACCAATTTTAAATTAGTGAAATCAACATAGAATAATAGTGTAATTATAGCGATGGAGAGTAACCGGCTACATCCTGGAGTTGTTGAGCCTTAAACGGACGCTAGAAATCAATTTTAACATAAAAGCTACTAGCTAGGTATTGGTCTCAACTTCTATTTTAAAGTAATAAAAATTTCTTATGCTATCCGATATAGTATGAAATCAATTTTAACCTAAAAGCTACTAGCTAGGTATTGGTCTCAACTTCTATTTTAAAGTAATAAAAATTTCTATTTTAAAGTAATAAAAATTTCTTATGCTATCCGATATAATACTATACTCAAACATAAATAATCAAAAAATTAATGATACACACACATAACAATGGCCTATTCGGTAAAAGTACCAGTATAATAAAAAATGTTGTGCATACAAATATAATAACGTACCATTATTAAAATATGTTCTTTATGAACCTCTATAGAAAATCATTTAAGAACAAGAAAATCATCACATGTATTTTACAATCACTTCTAAATCAAATACACACCGGATGCGTTTGGCAACTTTAAAAAGAGACCGGACCAAATCTAGTTTTCTTCTAACTAAGTCAAAGTTAGTCCAACTAGAAGGTGGTTCAGAAAAAAACTAGTTTAAAACCTAAATTTTAAACTAAAGAAAATTATTTTAACTTTGGCTCCTTTATTGTCAAACTGAAAACTAGTTTTTAAATTAAAGTTGTACTCACTAAAATTAGTTTTGTAAGGTTACCGAACACACATGCAATATCATAACAGAGTATTGAATCCGAGTCAATTACACCCTTTAAAGGCATGTGCTGAGCAATTGTCGCGAGCTCCTACCGTCCCATCTACAGAGAACCTCTATAGAATTTCTTTTCTTCTCCTACCGTCCCATCTACAGAGAACCTCTATAGAATTTCTTTTCTTTCTTTTTGTTTTATGCAGCACACCTCCTCTCTCTCTCTCTCTCTATAGAATTTATAACGGAAGGTTGTGTTGTTCAAAGCCATAATTTCTTAACTCTGTTAAAATTTTTCTCAAGCTGGATTGAGTTGACTGTTGGCTTATTAGAGATTTGAGAGAGAGAGAGAGAGAGAGAGAGAGAGAGAGAGAATGGGGAGGCAACCATGTTGTGAAAAGGTGGGACTGAAGAAGGGACCATGGACAGCTGAGGAGGACAAGAAGCTCATCAACTTCATCCTCAATAATGGCCAATGCTGCTGGAGAGCTGTCCCCAAGCTTGCAGGTCTCTTTTCTAATTCTCTCTGTTTCCTTGATTAAGACTTGGTTTCTGAATTTGCATATCTTCAGATTTTGAAGATGCATTGTTTATAATCAGAAATGAAATTGCTTTGTCAATTAAGGTTGTTGAAACACAAGGGAGAAATTTGATTACTGTTTTAATTAATTGGTTTTTTTTAAAACTTAAGAGAATATATTATCCGTGTTCTTCTTCAAACTTCTTTGCTCTTTTATTGTTAGAATATAATAATATACTATTGTTAAATTGTAATAATATAAATCTTCACCATAACTTTTTAGTTTTGGTGTAATGGTTAGAGAATGTTTAAGTGGTATCAGAGCAACTCATGTTTAAATCACATCAACTATAAATTTAAAGCGGAATATTAAAAAATTAACACGGCTACATGAGTTCAAGTTTGGGCCCATAAAAAGGACGCTCAACCGTTGCTATAACTTTAGAGTTTTGATCTAATGGTCAGTGAGAATTTAAGATTTATGATCTCTTCTTCATTTTTATTATGTTTCGCTTTTACGTGAATTGATAGCTTTGTTGATAAAACTGCTCTTTATTACGGGTCTTTCTCTCACAAAATTTTAAAGAATATAAGATTATAATGTCCGATTCTTACTTTTAATACAGTGAACAAGAACTTTAAGTTGATATCAAAGTTATTGAGTTTGATCCTATTCAAGTGGATTTCAAAAAACGTTTCATGGCATAGCATAGTTTGATTTTGATTATTGAAAAGAATTCTCTACCTACAATCACATAAAAAAGCATAAATTACAATTCTTTATTCTCACCCAAAATATTTTAGAGTTTTTTGATGTTTCAATGCAATGTAAGGAACATATGATTAATGTTATGGATGTAGATTTTGTATTAGTGGAATGCATATATTTCTCAGTAATCTAAAAGATGAAATTGTTCTGTTTTGTCCAGGGCTACTGAGGTGCGGTAAGAGCTGTAGGCTTAGATGGACAAATTATCTCAGGCCTGATTTAAAGAGGGGATTGCTGTCAGACTCGGAGGAAAAAATGGTCATTGACCTCCACTCTCAACTAGGCAACAGGTACTATTTTATATTCATCTTTTAGTGTATCTCTCAAACTTAGTACAAATTGATTCTGCCCTTCTCAATTTCTCTGCTTGCCAAGACAACAAAATCCTTACCCTAAGTTGTTAATCAATTCTATTAAATTCGTAAGCATATTCTTCTTAGTTGCTTCCAGCTAGATTTTTATAGGTCTATCTGGGCTCCTTCTTGACAATTAACTAAAATTTAATCATTAAATTGTTCTAATTTGTGCATTTAATTATTTCCATTGTAGATGTCCAGACAACTTAGCCAATATTATGCTTTGATGTTTATTTTTTCCTTCTTTATTCCATCATTCTTTATTCTAGACAATAACAAAAGCGTAGGGCTACAATAGGTAGCTGACGATAATAATCAGCGTAAAATCTAGTCGGATCTTTATTATATGAATAGTTAACGGAACAAGCTCTGATCTCCTATGAAAACACGGAACACTCATTTATCCACAGATTAGCAATAACATTCTCACTTGCTTGCAGATGGTCTAAAATTGCAGCTCACCTCCCAGGGAGAACTGACAATGAGATCAAGAATCACTGGAACACTCACATCAAGAAAAAACTCAAGAAAATGGGAATTGATCCTCTCACTCACAATCCCATCTCTTCGAATTCAGCAAAAACCCAAGCAGAAGTAAAACAAGAACAAGAAGAAGAACAGAGCAAATCCCGTGCATTTTGCATTGATGATGTGCCCATGATCCTTCCTCATGAGATATTGGTCCCTAATCATTCGACCTCATCGCCATCAATCTCAAGCACTTCTTCTTCTTCCTCCAGTGATCCTTTATTGAAGGTCCCAACCATGGAGTGGCAAGAGTCTATGACTTTGTGGGGGCTTGATGATTTAATGGGGTGGGATTCTACCTTTTGTTGTGATGATGTTGATGGGAAATTGGCATTTGATCAGGAGCCGTGGAAATTTGAGCTCTTTTGATTTGCCAAAAAAAAAAAAAAAAAAACCAATTTGTGACTGTATTTTGTTCTTAGAGATTATGATACAAAAAAAAAAGAAGAAGAAGAAGAAGAGTAATTGCAAATGTACCTGATGAACTTTTCTATTAGCAACTCTAAAAAGAATTATCATTTTGGCAAAAGTTTATGGAGGGAGATGGGTCGACATTTGTAAACATGAAGAGCTAAATTGTTAACATGTTAAGTAAGATTTATTTTGATCTTTGTTGATGATTTTAATGTTTGAGGATAATAATTATTACGATATAAGAATGTTAACGGGCTCCTCATTTGATTAACTCATTTTAACCCCTCTAGAAAGATTATTTTAACCATTTTGTATTTTTTTGGTAAATTATAATGGGTTAACTCACTTTTCCTTTGTATAGATTATTTTTGTGATTTATATGTGACGCCTTGACATCTCATTAATATCACTACAAACAACAAATGTAGTTGTAACTATATTTATGGCAAAGCCTCTAGTTGTACCTAATTAAGTTAATGCCTTCCTCATATACGAACGTAAGTTACAATTCTAACTATTTTGAGTTTTAAATAGAGTTTAAATTGCATCAACCCTAACAAAACTTTTAAAAAAATAAATCATAGATTTAAAACCACAATCAAATTACCAAATTTCAAAACTAAATCGCACCAAAATTTACAATTATATTCAATTCACAGTTTCATTACAATATAATTGCAACAAGCCAATCAAGTACCCTTGGTGTCTGTTAATGATATTGTATTCTCATACGGAACAATATTATCATATAGTACTGTACATCTATTTTGTAAATATTTGTTACATTTACTATTAGAGGCTGTTTGGTTCATTTTCTAAAAATATAGGAGATGAAATCCCCATCAAGAAATTAAATCCATTGCTTTTAATTGATATCTTAGAAATTGCTAATTTTTTATTTGGTTGAACATGATAACAGGGAAGCTAATCTTAAAATTTATAATTTTATGTTTGGTTCAAACCCCAAAAAATAGGAAAGCAAAACTAGAAGGGGTACAAAAAGAGACAAAGAGAAAAAGGAGAGAATGTTGATGTGATATTAATGTATAAGCTTTACATCCAAATCCTCTACAAAAGTTAAGATTTGGCAAATTTTAAAAGTTGGTTGCTT